TTGTTTCTGAGCCAGGCGCACTACCACTGCGCCAAGGCTGTTAAAAAAGATTTCCAGAGAAGCAATACTGCACTTTATTGTTTCGATGAACATCAAGTTTTAAGCCTATAAGTGGAACAGTCAAGTTAATAAATATTGACTTTCTACAGCAGTTTTTCATTATTATTTTATTCTTTTCTAATTCTGTATTCTTTTTTATAATAAGTTTTCTGTATGCAGTATTTATGGATACCATGATACCAGATATACTATGCCTAATGTCTGAAATCAAAAAGTTCTTTATCTGCATTGAATATACTGAAGTAAAAGACTGAATTTAAATATTTTTTATTTTTTAATGATAAAATAAATGATAAAAAAAGGTTTAATGAAAGTAAAATAGTTAACAAAAAAGTGAAGTTTTATTTGTAGTAATATTTTTGTTTACATTTATATATGAAGTTTTTGCAAAATAAAGAAAGATGTGATGAAACTAAATATATTGTATGATTTTTTTAAAGTCTTTTTCAGCTTCTGCTAATAATGTTTACAATTAAATTATCTCAAAAAATGTTATAGTATTGTTTAAGAATGCTAGAACTTACGGAAATATTATTGTATAGAGTAATTATAGGTAATTTTTAATAAAAGTGGTGTGCATGTCGTTTAAATTGTTCCTTTTTATTTACTGTGGGCAATTTTACAATACTTATTACTTGTCATCATTATTTACATTTTTTTTTAAGTTTATTACATGCTTGTGAAATTCGAAAAGGATTTTGATGTGTTTTTTATATATTTGTATATGACAATCATTTTTGTATTGACAAAAAATGTAAAGGTATCCGTAGACAAAAAAATTAATTTAAGCTATATTACTTATTATTGTTTCATAAGTATAAACAAGATCTTGATAAAATAATAACCCAAATGATTAGATTTATTTAAGTTCAGATAAGAAGTATGTTGTTTATTAAACGTTATACAAAAACATTGATTTCTGCAACTTGAAGTGCGTCAGAATCATTCTTTGTGATTAAAATAAATCTAATAATATATGATCCTGTAAAAACTTGTTTTATGTTGGAGCTTAATATACCAATCAGAAAATAATCAGATAATTGGTCGTTCATACTGACCGTGAGTTTATTGCCATTCATTCTAAATGTGTTTTGAAAATGGTTCCAAACAATTATTTCATATACTCTAAAAATAAATTTCAGATCTAGTTTAAACCACTTATTGTAGCCGTCAGGAGTGGATATTGCGGCAGTATTTAAAGTTCCATCGATGGCTTTACTTGGTACACAGCATGCTGAATACGTGACTGACAAAGATGGAATTCCTAAGGTCGACACGTCATTTGATCCTGCTAAAAATGAAGGGTGAATAGTAAAATATAAAAATTCTATCAAGGCTAATAAAAAAAAAAAGCCTACTTTTTTTATTGATATATTTTCAGAACAAAGCAAAAGTACAAAAGCGACGCGGTCAAAGATCAAGGAAGCAGTTAACATTAAAATAAATTATAAACATTTAAGTTATATGATTCAAAACAAATTATTTTACAAAAAAACAATTTTTGTAAATGAAGACTGCTAAAAACGCTACTTACCACGACGAGTAATTGTACAATAACAAACTTTGTTAAATGAACAAGATAAGCTATCTATTCTAGGTAGCTCCTATGATGCTATTTTTAATAAAGAAAAAAGACATATATAACAATAAGACTAAGACTCTAGTTTCGCTGCTGCAGAAAACCTAATTATACTTATAACAAGCTTTTGCATTTCTTTTAAGAAAAAAAAGTTTAACTTGAATACCATTTATGGCAATAGTGTTTGATTAAAAAAATAAAAGATTTAAAAAGTATTGGATTAGCGATAGGAAAGTTAAAAACACGATAAAAAGAAAACCTGTATTTTAGTCTGAATCATAATTGTTTTTTGTTGTTGTTTTTTTTGAAGATGTTAATAGTAAAAATAATCCAAAATGATTTTGAGTAAAAATTTATAAAAGTATGATGTTATTTATAAACCAAAGAATAATAAGATTCTTTTTTATTAATATATTATTTTGGTTATTTAAAATAGTTATTATTTATTTTTTGGTTTATTAAAATAGTTAATATTAATTATTTAAAATAGTTTGGTGCCACAAAAAGTCATTGCTGTTTTTTTAAAGTACACCGCGAAAGAATATTTAATAACAAATTAACCGATGTCGCAAAACTTGAATTTGAACCATGGACCCAACTGAAGCAAATGCGCTACCTTATTTAATAAGCAACCGTAAAGGTACTGCATTTCGGTTGCTAATTAAATAAGGTCGTCTTTTAAATAGCCAGAGAATTTATCACGTATTTTATGCCTTTGTTAATATAATTTTTTTACCTATTTAAGAGGGAAACTCCCTCGAAAACCATTAAAAAAGCAAAAGGTTAGTATGTTTTTTTTTAGACATAAAAATTACCATAGATTTTATTTATGTAATTTGTTTTTCATAAAAATCGTTCTAAAGTCTAAAAATTTAAGTTTTTTAAATGGTGAGTTGATGTTGTTGTTGTTTTTTTTTTTTTTTTCGCCGTTGAAAAATATTACAAGAAAGAAATTACAATAACAGAAAATCCTGGCCGGAGCAAGAAGAAGACAGTTAATATTCATCATAAAATTTTCATCAAGTAATGATATTTATGTATTTATGTATATATAAAAAGGTTGTCTTATCACCGAGCCCCGTCACACAAAAATTTACAAGCACAATAAATGATAAAAGACAAAAAGACAGTATAAATACAAAAACAAATCAAAAACTTCTGCAGTAAAATAAATTGTTGCTAACAATCTTCCAGCAGAATAATTTTAAAAATAAAAAAGCAAAAACGACAGAAAATCATGAAAGTTAAAAAAACACAAAAAAAAAAAATGCGTTGTTTAATTAATATATATATATATATATATATATATATATATAATATATATATATATATATATATATATATATATATATATATATATATATATATATATATATATATACATATGTAAACATAAGTATATGGGCTGATTATTTCATATCACCAAAAATATGAACTAAAAAAAAGATAATTTTATTTTCGTTATCTTTTATACTAATAGTTTGAAACCATTTCAATAAAAGCCAAAGAAAGTGTTGAAGATTTAATTTATTTTTAAGTGATTTAGCTTAAACCTTTAACCCTTTACAGGTCAGGGTTGCCGTATGGCAACAAATAGTTTAATGTTACTTAAAACGTATAATTTTTTATATGGCCCGGATTTTCTTGGTTTAATACGGTATTTAGACTATGCTAACGCAAATAGTAAACAAAGATCGCAGTTTAGCGGCATTTTTGTATGAGAATCATTGCCTTGATTGTTACTACATTTTTTGGAATAAAATATGTATCAGTTTCAGGCCATCAAGATGTGTCAAAACACTTTGTTTATTATTATATTTGTAGTGAATGTTAAGTACCAGAAGTTGCTCTGTATTTTTATATCATTTGTTTTGTATAAGCTTTGACTGCATGATTTATTACTTCATAACAAATATTTTGTTGCCATACGGCAACTGTGTCCTTTAATGGACATATTTTGAATAAAGTCTTATTTTAGATATCTCGCTACTTTATATCTCCCAAGTAGATATTAAAATTTTTATGTCTTATGTTTCCAAAGTTTTCTTTTATAAGTGAAGTTTTATATATATATATATATATATATATATATATATATATATAATATATATATATATATATATATATATATATATATATATATATATATATATATATATATATATATATATATATATATAATATATATATATATATATATATATATATATATATATATATGTATATATATATATATATATATATATATATATATATGTATATATATATATATATGTATAAATATATATATATATATATATATATATATATATATATATATATATATATATATATATATATATATATATATATATGTATATATATATATATATATATGTATATATATATATGTATATATATATATATATATATATGTATATATATATATATATATAAATATATATATATATATATATATATATGTATATATATATGTATATATATATATATATATATATATATATATATATATATATATATATATATATATATATATATATATATATATATATATATATATATATATATATATATATATATGTTTATATATACATATATGTAGTGCGAGTAGATAATTTAATATTTTTAGAGTATAAATAATTTAAAAAGAAAAAGAAATTAACCACTAAAATTGTTATGATGGAAAGACAACGCTATCAAAAAACTCGATACACAATTCAGGATGTTGTAAACTTTGTTCTTGAGCCTGGTTCTGATTCAGAATTATCAGAACTTTCTGAATCCTCGGATGATGAAAATGAAGTTGGCCAACCGAAAATTGATTGTGATGAAGAAGAAGAGATAACTGATAACGAAGAAATCTGTGGAGGTGAAGATCAAAATATATCAAATTTTGAGTCAGTAAGAAAAAGAAAAAAACCACACGAGTTTCGGTGGCGATCTACTAAACCGCAATTAATCGATTCGGAATTTATGGGAGAAAATTTCACATTAGCCCCGGATAATTTTAATGAACTTACACCTCTTGATTATTATTCCCAGTTCTGGACAAAAGAAATAACAGAACTGATTGTAGAACAAACAAATCTTTATAGTACCCAACTTTCCGGTAAGTCAATAATCACAAATGTTAATGAAATGGATCAGTTTATGGGAATGCAAATGTTAATGGGTATTTTAAAGCTGCCAAGCTACCCTATGTACTGGATGAATGAAATCAGAATTAATACAATTGCTGATGTTATGCCAATTAATAGTTATAAAGCGTTAAGAAGATATATTCATGTAGTTGACAATTCAAAAAAAAGATGAAGCAGATAATAAAAATGATAAAATTTTCAAAATTAGACCTATATTAGAGATGGTGCAGGATAATTGTCACAAAATAGAACCAGAACCAGTGCATTATATCGATGAGCAAATAATACCTGCGAAAACAAAACATAGTGGTATTCGCCAATATAATCTGAAAAAGCCTCACAAATGGGGGTTTAAAATGTTTGTTCCATCTGGTTCAAGTGGAATCATCTATGATTTTTTTTTTGTATTGTGGCGCAAAAAGCAGCGGAAGAGAAGATTGTTCTGCAGAGAATGTTGTTTTAAGATTGGCTGAACGAATACCAAAAAATTTAAACTTTAAGTTGTGCTTTGACAACAGGTTCTGTACTCTTTCTCTTTGTCTCAAACTAAAAGAAATAGGCATACTGACAACAGCAACTATTCATACAAATCGAATAGCAAAGTGTCCACTGCTTTCTGAGAAAGATTTAAAAAAACAAGGTCTTGGGTCTTTTTCATATAAGGTTCATGCAAACTCTGGTCTGTTGCTTCTAAGATGGTTTGATAACAAATGTGTTCATATGACCTCAACATATTGTTCAGCTAATACATCTGGTAATGTTAAACGATGGGATCAAAAAAATAGGAAACATATTCAATTACCTTGCCCGCAAGTTGTAAAAGAATACAATACTGGAATGGGTGGTGTAGACTTGTCTGACATGCTTATTAGCTTATATCGAATACCCATGAAAACAAAAAGATGGTACTTACGTGTGCTTGTTCATTGCATGGATATATGTAAGATAAATGCTTGGCTGCTGTATAGAAGACATGGTAACCAGTTGAATATTTCTCAGCGTAGCCAATTTAACCTCCTTCAATTTAGCAGTCAAATTTCTAACGCTTTAATAATGAAAAGTAACTGAGTTGAAACACCTATTGGCCGACCAATAAAAAAATTATCAACTCATTCTGATTTAACCGAAACACGAGGTCGCAAAGTTCAGGTACTAACACCCCAAAATGATATAAGATATGATGAGTTTGAACACTGGCCAAATCCTCAAATTAACAAAAACAAATGTCGATTGTGCAAGAAAACCGTTCGTATGTCTTGCCTAAAATGCAAAGTTTTTTTATGTTTAAGCAATGAAAGAAATTGTTTTTATCAGTTTCATAGAAAGTAGGAACTTTTGAAGAAAACTAATTATGACTTATTTTTTCAACAAGACTGATTATTATTGTTTACTAACTAAAAGTAATAATTTGATTTTATACCCTAACCGGTCAAAGTTGCCATATGGCAACAAAAAGTATCTCAAAAACTGCTTATGTCAGCAAAAAAAAATTATTGATTATTACTCCATACACCAAATAGATCCTTTAAAATAAAAATAAAATTTTTTCTACCATTTTTTCTAATGCTGACCTGTAAAGGGTTAAGTTGATTTCAAAAAGAGTATTTGAAATCTAATATATCAAATTCCATGTTCAGTAAATGCCGTTTTGAGTCATCCTTAAAACTTTGCAAAGTGCAGTTTAAAACGAAGTTTTGTTTTTTACTTAAGATTGAAAGAAATTTTTTCCAAACTAAAGGTCCCCGATATAGAATTTGGTAGGTACTTAATTTAAGAAAGTTTTTGGAAACCACAAAGTTATTCACTGAAAATTTGGTTAGATATTTATTAGAGATTACATTTAAGTAGGATTGAAATGTTAGAAAAAATGATATTTATGTTTAAAGCAAAAATGGAGAAAACCCAATTTTTTCTTTAAACATAAATATCATTACTTGATGAATATTAAGTTTATAATTATTTAAAGCTCCAAGCTGACGTAAGAGAGGCTCTGTATAAAAGAAAAATATAAATTTTTTAAAGACTCATTATTAAGAAAAAGTTTCGTTCTGTATAACATGGCAATATTTTTTGGGATCTTATCTTCAACATATTTAATATGAAACTTCCATGACAGTTTTTCATCTAAGAGCACTCCCAGAACGTGTGTAGTCATTTTCCTTTTTATTATTTTATTATTAATTAAAAGATTGGGTAGTTTAAGAGGAATATTCTCGGTTTTACTAGGTTTATGGAATACGATAAATTTTGTTTGCTTTGCATTTAATGCAGAGAAAATTAGTGTCATCTGCAAATAAGATAGTATTTAATACTTTTGATGATAAATATAAATCATTTATATAAAGTAAGAACAATATAGGTCCCAAAATAGAACCTTGGGGTACTCCACAAGTTATTAAGTTGTTTTTTGACTCTTTTGATTCTTTAAGTTTAAGTTTCTTTTTGTTAGTTAAGTATGATTTAAACCAAAATAAACTTTCATTTTTAACACCATAGTTTTTTAATGTTTTCAAAAGAATTTCATGATTTATTGTGTCGAAAGCTTTGGATAAATCAATAAAAATCCCTATTATATAGCAACCACTATTAAATCCATTTAACATATGCTTAACCAATTCAACTATTGCATGGTGAGTAGAATGATTTTTTTTAAAACTGTATTGATTATTATATAAAATCTTATTTTCAGATAGATATTTATTAAGTCTGTTGTACATAATGCGCTCAATTAGTTTAGAAAAGCAGGGTAAGAGTGAGGTTGGTCTGTAGTTTGAAATATTGGTCTCATCGCCAGATTTGAAAATAGGTGTTATTTTTGCAATTTTTAGTTTTTCTCGAATATGACCTGATTTAAGGGAGAGATTATAAGTATGGAATAATGAGGGTCGGATAACATCAAAAACAGATTTAAGGTGGTACATCCCCATTAATTTCGAAATTTTTTAGAAAAAATAAATTTTTTGAAAATTGCTTCTTTAAATTCAAAATTTTTCATATAATAATATTATTATTTATTTTTTTAATAAATAAATAAGGAAGTGTGTACAATTATGTGTTTTGTGGCCATAGTAGATTGAGAAGTCCGTAGCAACGACATAACAACGCATTTTAAAACAAAAAAATTTAAACTTGCTCAAGCTTATCAACATCAAAAACTCTTTTCTAGTGCAGCTTCTTGTTTGTTTTATGCTTCATGTTTATTTTAAAAGCTATAACTTGAACTACTCATGCGAACATGTATCAAAATATTGTGCTTGCATGCTGTTTTAGTTTGTTAATGTTCTTATAAATAAATAGCTAAATAAGATATGGAACGTTCTATTGCTCGAACTAAAAAAAGAAAGTTTTCTTGTAATCAACACATAAAATCTTCAAAGTTTATTCAGCTTGATTCATCAATTTCTGATCCAAGTTTATCAGCAAGCTCTAAAAAACTAGTAAACACTAAAATATCTGGAAGTCAAAAAAATTACAATATCATTAAAATGACTTAAAAAGCAAGAAAGGTTTTTGTTTTTACGTAACTTTACAGTGCCTTTGTTGCCCATTTAGCAAAGGATGGCACACGTCTCAGTTTTCAACTAAAAAATCTAAAAGTACTCCAGGTGTTCCTACTGCATCAGTTAATTTTCAAGTTGTTACTGCTTTTCGTGAAATTGGTAAAGGTTATCAATCTATATGCAAATTTGCTGCAGTAATGAACATGACATCTCCTATGAATTTTAAAAATTATAGTGCAATTAATAACAACTTGTTAAATATTTATAATGAAGTTGCTTCTGAAAGTATGTCAAGTGCTGTCAATGAAACCAAAGATATTATTTCTAATTCAAGCAATGTTAATGATGTTTCTGCTTGCCAAGTTTCTGTTGAAGGTACCTGGCAAAAGAGAGGTCATCAATCTTTAAATGGTATTGTCACTGCAATATCAAGAGAGAATGGAAAATGTATTGATTCAATTTTGTTAACTAAGTTCTGCAATGCTTGTAGTTATTGGAACAAAAAAAAGTCAACACCAGGTTATCAAAACTGGAAAATAAATCATGTTTGTGAAGCTAACCACAATAAATCATCAGGATCCATGGAAGCTTCTGGTGCTGTTTCAATTTTTCAACGGTCAATTCAAAAGCGTAGTTTGAGATATGAAGGCTATATTGGAGACGGTGACAGCTCAGCATATAATGATGTTGTTGCAAGTAATCCATATCCAGGTTTTGAAATAAACAGACTTTATTGTGTTGGACATTACCAAAAGAGACTTGGAAATCGTGCGCGTAACCTTAGAGTTACACTTAAAGGTCAGTTTCTTTCAGATGGAAAAAGAATAAATGGAAAAGGTCGTCTGACAGATAAAGCCATAAATACGCTTCAAAATTATTTTGGTATGGCTATCCGTCAAAATGTTAATAACCTTTATGCAATGAAAAAAGCTGCTTGGGCTGTTTTATTTCACAACAGTGACATAAGTGAAGAGTAAGAGAGACACAAGCTTTGCCCACAAACTAGAACTAGTTGGTGTTTGTGGCAGAGTAATAAAGTAACAGGTGAAACAACATACAAAACCAAATTAAGCTTACTATTAGCAATTAAAGCAGTACTTATGCCTATATTTACAGATTTGACAAATGAAACATTGTTATCAAAATGTTTGCACGGACAAACTCAAAATAACAATGAAAGTCTGAATGCCTTAATATGGAAAAGATGTCCTAAAAATTTTTTTGTTGGGAAAAAAGTTCTTGAGATAAGTATGAACTCAGCTATTATAGCATTTAATGATGGAAACAAAGCAGTTGAAAAAGTAATTAGTGCTGGAGGTATTGAACCAAGTATGTTTATGCAAGAAGGACTTCGTAAATTGGACCTCATCCGAATTAAAAAAATGAATCACAAATCAAGTGCTAAAGGTAAATTAAGGAGAAAACAGCTTAGAGCCATCAAAAAAGGTTACATAGATATTGAAAAAGAACTGGAAAAGGACCCACAATATAATAGTGGAGGTTTTTAATTGAGCTTGTACTTCTTTTCCTAATATAACGAACTTTTATTTTGTTTTTTGTGTTTTTCTCAAAACGTCATTTTTACTAAATACCTAAATTTTAAAACGCAATATTTTCAGTTTGGGACCTTATGCTGACTTGAAATTTTCAGGGTGCTTTTGTTATAAATTGACTTAGGTAATGAACCAAAATTACAAATAAATATCATGTATAAGTATGTTTAAAGTCTTTTTTTCTTTTTTTTTTTTTGTTAAAAATTTTCTTAAATTTATAGAAAATTACTTTTAAAATGTTCTATGCATCTTTAATGCATGATTTTGGTTCATAACCTCTTTGTACCTTTTAGTAACATAATGTGAAAATTTCAGAGTGAAAGGGTATATAGAACTGGAGATATCTTGTTTTAAATTACACCCATATTTTGGCAATTCTTATGGAATAAGTGAGGCAAAAGTTGGGCAATCGAGATTTCATTAAAAAAAAAAAATCAACATACTTTTTTTAACTTGTGTAATGTAGCTTTAATTTTGTATAGATTATTTTAAAGAAATTTTTTAGAATGGGGGTGTACCACCTTAATTACATTGACATTATTTTGATCTCTACCTTATTTTTTTTCAGACTATTAAAAGTAGTATCCAGTTCACATTTGGTTAAAATCGGTTTTTCCATAAATAAATCAGTTGTTGCAAGATATGAATCAAATTTTTTTGACCAACTGGAATATTCGCTGCTAGTTTGGGCCAACATCAAAAAAATATTGTTTAATTTCTCAATAATAACTTTATTGCGATAAATCATTTTTCCCTCAAAAATAAGTTTTTGCGGTAAGTTATTTTTTTCAATTTTATTTTTCCCAATTAAATCTCTAATAACACTCCACGTTTTTTGAGAGTTTCTTTTTTCCTTTTTTGAAGTAGTTTAGCATAGTAATTTACTTTTGATCGCTTTTTAACTTTTAACAAATAAACTTTTATAATTTTTGTAACAAGTTTCATTTTTATAAGTTTTATTTTTTAAATATTTATCATACAATTTTTGTTTTTTCCTTGATGATTTTAGTAGGCT